AAAGAAAGAAAGAAAGAAAGAAAGAAAGAAAGAAAGAAAGAAAGAAAGAAAGAAAGAAAGAAAGAAAGAAAGAAAGAAAGAAAGAAAGAAAGAAAAGAAAGGAAGAAAGGAAGGAAGGAAGGAAGAAAGAAAGAAGGAAAGAAAGAAAGAAGGAAAGAAAGAAAGAAGGAAAGGAAGAAAGAAAGAAAGAAAGAACTCAGTTGGAAGATAAACCCTTTCTAAGCTAGTGCTCTACCACTTGAGTCACATCCGTACTTCTGGCTTTTTAGTAGTTAATTGGAGATAAGAGTCTCACAGGTTTTTCTGCCTGGAATGGCTTCAAACCGTGATCCTCAGATTTCAGCCTCTTGAGTAATTAGGATTACAGGTTTGAACCACCGACATCTCCAACACTATGTATGTATATCACACAATCTAGTTCTATGAAACAATTTACAGCTTACCAAAATTGCTATGTCTTCTCAGGCCTCTTATTTTCAGAGTACTATGTCCTTTATTAAACCATTTCCACTGCCTTAACTGGACAACTTCTACTTATTTTGTTTACTTATTGAGACAAGCTCTTGCAATATAGCCCAGGTTAGTCATGATCCTTTTGACTCCACATCCCAATAACAGGATTACAGTCATGCCCCACAACTGGCTTCTGCTCCATTTTCAAAGTCAACTCCTCTTGGTTTTCCTTAGGCTGATGCTTCTACTTCAGCCTCTAATTGTGTGATGTACACTTTTGTGCTACAGAACACATACTGTATAGTGATTCAGGGCAATTTCAGGGTAAAGTTATTTATTTCAGTTATCCATATTGCCTTTTAAAGTGCCAGACATATAACAGGCATTCAGTCAGTATTGACTTAAGTAGATAAACAAATGAAATATACAAAGATACAACAGCTGAAAAATAAATGTCAAGACTGGTCTGACAAAAGTTGGAAAATAAATGTAAAAACTGGCCCAATCTGACCAGGAAGTAGCTGCAGTGAGGGCTTGCTTATAGTCTCCAGTGAAGAATTTTGTCCTGTAAGCCAAACACTCAGCTCTGTATCTTAAAAAATGTCACCAACTTCTAGAATCCTATATCCTTATTAAAAACTCAATGCATATCATAATTAACCCAATAATTTATTTAACAGGGAATGTAAATTATTTAAGGGCAAAGAGCCTTAGCTCCATGATTGTCAAGTGGTGAAATATTCATTCAGATATATGTAGTTCCTCTAAATGACAAAAAAAAAAATGTTTCTTTTAAGATCTGTATCTCATTTTTCACTACCAACAATCAACCACAAGTTTCACTACTAACAACATCAGCAAAAAATCCAGATAGAAGGCAACTTAGAAATTATTAAAAAAGATTCTTAGCCATAAATTTCAAGACAAAGAATAATTTTAATTAAGTATTGAGAAGATGTTTCCCATAATATGTAATCCACTTGTGTAGGTTATTGTAAGAACTCTGAATTTTGGAATTATATTCAAGCTTTACAGCAAATTAATATATTTTCTTAACAATATTATGACACATATCATTTGTTGATTCCCTACCTTTTTCTTGGGTTTCTTGTAGAGCCTTTTTCCATAGTTGAACGGACTTTTCATATGCTCCTAACAGGAAACACTCTTCACCTGGTTTATAACCAACAATTAGTCAGAATAAATTATATAATTTCATAAAAGCTTATTTTAAAATTGTAAAAGCTTGTTTTAAAATTCATTAGTTCATCTGGATATTCTTTTAAAAACCAAATAATTTCAAACAATTACAAAATCAAAGCTATAGATCATTTCATGTATTTATAATCAGAAGTTGCATATAAGATACTGACCATTGATAGACATAAGTTCTGGGGCTTGGTTTAAACCACCTCCAGCAGTTTGTAAGTTAGCTTGTATATGACATAACAGGGATTTGACAGTAGATGCTTCATGTGTCATCTTTTCAGTTAACTGTCTGTCACATGCAGGAATTCGTTGACTTAATTGTGCTTGATACCATAAAGTATTTTTGTATAGTATTCTCCAGACAGCAACCAATCTGCATACAAAATTAGGTAAGCACCAAAACCAAATTTCACACTAATGGTAAAAATTAGTTTCATCTACTTTATGGCCTACTTTTTTCTTCACTGATAAAATAATAACGCTCATCATAAAATATAATAACATTGTCTTATTTAAACATAATACAAAATCCAGTAATCAAAAATGAGTACTGAGCTAGGCGCCAGTAGCTCAAGCCTCTTATCCTAGCTACTCAGAAGGCTGAAGATCTGAGGATGATGGTTCAAAGCTAGCCAGGGCAGAAAGTCTATGAGACTCTTATCTCCGATGAACCACCAGAAAACTGGAAGTGGCACTGTGGCCCAAGTGGTAAAGTGCTCGCCTTGAACTGAAGAGCTGAGGGACAGCACCTAGGTCCAGAATTCGAGCCCCATGACTGACAAAAAAAAAAAAAAAAGAGTACTGATTTGTAAACATATTGTCATGCAAGTTTTTTATGCAAGTCAGCTTGCTTGCTTATGGCAGGCACTTTATGACTTAAGTCTTATCTGCTAGTTAATTAGGTATGATTCTTTTGCCCAAGCTGGCTTCAAACCATGATCCTCTGATATCATCCCCCTTAGTAGCTAGAATTATAGTAATGAGCCAGTGACACTAGACTGTGATACCTTTTTAAGACTCTTAACAAAGCCAAAATCTTTTAATAATACCATCATGAGTGTCAAGGAAAAAAGTATGTGTGCTATATAACATTTGGCATAATCCTAAAATAAGTTTTGATTGCCAAAGTTCATATATAGATGAAATATATATAAGGGTTGTCAATATATTTATTTATATATTATAAATATTATTTTATATATTAAAAATTATTTATATTTATACATATATTTGTCTCCTTAAATGCATACATATAAATGTGTCAGGTATAACATATTTTGAAATTTGTTCTGGTTTGTTTTTTAATTTTCTAAACTTCAGATGCTTAACTATGTTTAAAATACCAAGGTTTTAATGCTGAGACATGTGAATTCTTTCTGAGATTATAAAATATTTTGGAATTACACCAGGAGTATTGGCACATGCTTATAATCCCAGCTATGCTAAGTGGAGATAGGAGCATCCGAGGTTTGAGTCCAGCCTGGACAAAATGACCAATGTTCCAGTTCAAAAACAGAATGCAAAATGAAAAGAGGGAAGGGAATGGCTCAAATGGCACAACACATGCATTAATAATCACAAAGCATTGGGTTTAACCATAAGCATCAAAAGAAGTTTCTAGTTTAAATTCTGGAATTAGTATTAATAGCTACATAAACTTAAAATTACAATACGAAACACAAAATTGCACACTATAGGATGGTGACATATTCAGAATTTTAGTGGCATTTTATTTTTTTTAAGTTAGTGATTATACCTATGACCTGGCTTGTGAACAAGATTGGTTGTTTGAGGATGAATCTTGAAAGATGAGTCCCAAGACCTGTTTTCCTGAGAGCTACTCTCTTGCAAAATAGGTACCACCAGTGACTCTTGATCCACTGTCCTTCCATCACCTGGTGTGGAAATAGCAACAGGTTGAAGATTATATATGCAATTTAATTTTTCAGTCACCATTCGGAGTAAATAAAAACAGGCTAAAAGTTTCTCTGAGAATAACTGATTCTTCTCTTGCTGAGTCAAAAAAAGTTTGACAGTATTTGAGGTCAGCTTTATCAAATGTCCTATATCTTGTTTGTATCTCATATCCCAATACTGGATCGATAAGCACTGATGAAAAAGTTGAAAGATACAAAGTATCCATGCATTATGTTTAAGACTCTTGCTTAAAAAAGAATCAAGTTTGGGGAAAGGACAGTTTATAAACTGAAGAATGTGGAAAAAATGAGTGATACAAGCTACTGTGCAATTTAACATTATTTTTTTTTCAGTCACATGTTTTGAAATTCCTATAGTCCATGCTGAAAGTAGATTTTTCTGGATAGAATTCAGTTCTGTTATGGCTTGGTCAGTAAACTTGGTATCATCCTTTGCATGTATTGTATCAAACATAGACGCGAATTCCAATCTCCCTTCACTGGCACTGCTAAAGAGTGAGTTATTTTTTTGATTATAAAAAGGAAATGAGTTGCTTGCAAATTTTTTGTCTTCATTAGTTTCTTCTGCCTCGAAATCCTGAACATGAGGGAAAAAATAATAGTACCAGTTAAGGCTTATTCACAGAATCACTGATGTTCTTAAATTTCTCTTTTCTCTAACAAGAGAAAAACAAATGTGTTTCTTAGAATAAGGCCAATTTTAATTATTCAAAGTAAATAAAACTTGTTATTAAATACCTGAGAGTCTGCTGTTTTTTCATGTAACTTCATTGTTTCTTCAGCCTGCAAAAATCTCGGAATAGTAGAATCAATTGAGTTTTCAATTCCTTGGTATTTTAGCAGGCTAGACCTTAGGGAATCCAGTGATCGTAAATTCAGCCCTTTGCTTTTTGGCTAAGGAAGAAAACAGATTTTCAACAGATTTTATAAGTCTACTACAGTAATTAGAAGTTCTAGTTTTAACTTTGAAAGGAATAGGAAGACAACTTTTTATCAATGATAATCAAAAGCCCCATACCTTAGATGTCACACTCTCATACATTTTCTCAAGCCTCTGGGTTGAATCAAGTAACAGTGATCTCATGAGCAATGATGGAGATAGGTTATCAAGAAAGCGAAGGGTTGTAATCATATATCCATCAGAAACAATAAGGTAGGGTAAACGTGAGTGTGCTTTTACAGAAAATCTCTGTCTCAGAGGGTCACTATCAGAAGCTGATGAGTCTACAGGATTATTTGAATCTTGAAATGTAAACTGCTGTGGTCTGACAAACAAACATGAAAATGTAAGAATTAGTAAGAGAAAAATCCTAAAGGAATCAATCATATTATTCCAAAGAGAAAGAAAAATGAAAAATGTTACAGAATGAAGTGAAAGCAAACAGATGAAACATATCCAAAAACACTAAATGTGTATACATAAATACATACATAAATACATATACATATATATATATACATATCTATGCCAGGAAAATATAATATAGACAGAGTAAAAATAGGTAACTATTTTAATAGGTTTCTATGCTTTAAATACTTTTTCTGAATTGAGGTATTTACTGTTTTATTTGTAACTTATATACAACCTATCTCATAACAGAATTAAGGCAGCTTTATTTTATTAACATATGTTTAAACATGCTTATTTTATTAACATATGTTTAAATATGCTTATAGCAATATAAGTATGAGCTATCAGTATAATTGTTATTAAGGAGGGGGAAAACTAAGAAAAAACTTCAGGAAGGATGGTAGTGGATAAAATTTTACCAGTTTAAAATTAAATTTGAGTAAGTTTCTGTTTAGGTGCACTTATGTATTGTTACAAAGTATAACTAATGCTGATTACTTAATATGACTGCTTGGAAAGTATGAGGTTTTATACATGTTCACGGGGACAAACCATCAAAATATATTGTAACTTTTCTACTTAGGAAACTATTCACATATAGTTCTTGGGCAGGAAGCGTAGCTCAGTGTTAAGAGTGCTTGCCTAGTGCGTGCAAGTACTAGGGTCAATCCCCAGAGTTTCAATAAAATAAATGAAAAACTTGTATATAATTTCAAATACAGAGTTTTATATTAGCCAAATAGTGAACAATAGGAGATTAATTATAAAATGTACAAACTACAGAAACTTACGGAATCATTAAAAACAATGTTTGAGAAAGAAGATATGAGATACTAATAATTAAAAACAGTAAAACAGCAAACTACATATATAACTTATGCTAAAAAATTCTATTTCCAAATATTTTTTTCCTAAATTTAAAGGACATTAAAGTGTTTCCTTTTTTTGTTGTTGTTGTTATGGTGACAGTACTGAGGCTTAAACTCAAGGCCTTTAGCTTTTTTCACTCAAGGTTGGAGCTCTACCACTTTAGCTATAGCTCTGCTTCTGGCTTTTTGGTGGTTGATTGGACCTAACATTCTTACAGACTTTCTGCCTGGGCTGACTTGAACTGTGATTATTAGACCTCATTCTGAGTAGCTAGGATTACAAGAGTGAGTCACTAGTGCTCAGCAATAAACTAAAATGCTAACCATCATATTTGAGAAGCAGGATTATGACTCATCTTCTACACTATTTAGTCTAACAACATGATTTTTGGGGTCTGTGTACACCCATCCTGAAGTACGAACTGAGAACTTGGGTGCCATTGCAGCCTGCCTGGCTAGTACAACATAATTTTTAAAATATCTTATTAGTTCTGTAATTAGAAAACGCACCCAATATTGAAAGACCCTGCAATATGAGTTTACGAGAAAAAAGTGAAGAAATTCTAGTACATATTAATTGGACCACAGAAAGAAAAAAGTTGTGTGTGTGTGTGTGTGTGTGTGTGTGTGTGTGTGTCTTGAACTCAGGGTCTGGGTGTCGTCTTTTAGCTTTTTTGTTCAGAATAGCATTCTACCACTTGAGCCACAGCTCTACTTCCAGCTTTTTTGGGGGGTCAGTCCTTGAACTTGGCCTGAACACTATCCCTGAGCTTCATTTGCTCAAGGCTAGCACTCTACTACTTGAGCCACAATGCTACTTCCAGCTTTTCTGTTTATGTGGTACTGCGGAATCAAACCAAGGGCTTCATGCATGTTAGGCAAGCATTCTATCACTAGGCCACGTTCCCAGCTTACTTCCAAATTTTTGGTGGTTAACTGAAGAGTCTTTCACATCTGTCTGCTGGGCTGGCTTTGAATCACAATCCTTAGATTTCTGTCTCCTGAGTAGCTGGGTTACAGGTATGAGCCACCAGTACCCAGTAGTGTAAAGTAAAATACTTTTACTTTAGCAAGGAGTTTATCATTAACAAAAACACAATCACCTCAGTTTCTTTTGCCTATTTTGCTCTCTATTCATGTCTAACCACATACAATATAATCACCTCAAATCTAAAGGTTCCTGATCACATACTTCAAATTAGAACTATGCTTAATAATTTATAATTATGTATTATCTTACATAATTCCCTCAACCTTAAAAGACACTTATTGTCAAATTCATTTCACAAGAAAAGAAATAGAAACTCAAAGAATAACTTAGTCATACAAGTAATAGGTAGAAAAACAGTATTTGAATTTTGATGTGTCTGGCTTCAAAACTGAACTGCTATTTCATCTCACAATTTAAAATTAAAACATGGCTAAATTCTAAAGTCTTCTATCCACTACCAACAACTTTTGCTCTTTGGAAAACAGTAGCTAAGTCCACAAGTCAGCTCAATTTTGAGTAACTTGTTTAAATGGTCATCTTTTATAAGGATAAATGTCAAATCATACTTTATCATCTTTGTTTCTAAAGAAGAATATTTAGGACTACTAAATGTTTAAATAGCTTACACTTACATAGTCACAATGGCAAATTTTCACCAGGATTAAGCCACAAAAAAGAAATAGAAGAAAACTATAAATAAGAAAATGATATTAAGGTGATAGACCCAAAGAAAAAAAAAAGGTAATTTCACAGATAATATTGTTTTTCTTAAAATAGAAAAAACACATAGTAAAAGCAGTATCTCAAAAGAAAATATGTTCTGCAAACAAAAGCAATTCAATGTCTCACCTATATGTAATTAATGGGTGAAGAGGAATAAATTCTGCTGGTCCAAGTTCTATAGAGCAACCAAATGTAATTAATGTTAGCAATTCACCTAGGCAAGTCAATAAAACCAGGGAACCACGTTTTAGCACACAAGCCAGAAAAAGACTATTGTGTGTCCAGCTGATGTCGCCTACCCAATAGGACCTAGAAAGGGCAAGAGACATGTTAGGAAGGGTTCTATAATCACTATGACAATTTATAATAAACTGTGTCAATCAAGGTTGAATACTCTAAACAGATGAAAGCCGAGTATGATGTACATGTATGAGGTTGTCATAATGAAACTCATTCTGTATAACTAATATGTAATAACGTAAAAGAGAAGGGTAATAGGTAACTGTCACATACTAAGGATTTTTTTTGCATGGACAGCTACAACAATACTTTAATTAGAAATTTCTTCGTATTTGTAAGCAATTTAGAAGTGAAAATACTGCCAGAATTGAACTGTTTTGTCATTCCCATTTTAATTAGAATAAATTGTAATCCTTCTAGACTCCACCATCAAGATCTGTTAATAGATTTTATAATCATGCCCGTTTAGTCAGCAACATGCTAGCACCCCACTCAACAACAGGTGCTTCTTTCAAAGCTGTCAGTTAATACTCCTTTCTCTCTTTTTTGGTAGTACTTGCTAACCTGGTCTTCTACCACTTGAGCCACATCTCCAGTTCTTTTTTTCTTTTTTTATTTTGGTTGGTTGTGGGGTCTGAACTCTGGGCCTGGGCGCTGTCCCTCAGCTCTTCAGCTCAAGGCTAGCACTCTACCACTTGAACCACAGCGCCACTTTCAGCTTTTTCTGCTTATGAGGTGCTGAGGAATCAAACCTGGGGCCTCATGCATGCAAGGCAAGCATGCAACCACTGAGCCACCTTCCCAGCCCCTCCAGCTCAACTTTTTGTTGGTTGTTTTCAAGATAAGAATCTAATAAGACTTGAACCATGCTCCTCTAGATATTAGCTAGGATTACAAGTGTAAGCTACCCATATTCTGCAAAAGGAGATCTTTATATTTTCTAATCCCATATAGATCCTACTGGTAGCTAATAACACCAGTGTTGTTATTCATCCCTAACCCTGCCTGCATGAGCAAACAATTTGTTTCCTATATAGACTTGTTCATTTTAGCCTGACCAATGAAGCTCAATATTGCTCTCTATCTACTCCTGATTCCATTTTTCCTAAGAAGATATAAAAATAATGAAAGGGCAGAATGTGACTGATTTTACATTTCTTTCCTTTCTTTTTTTGCTAGTCCTGGGGCTTGAACTCAGGGCCTGGGCACTGTCCCTGAGCTTTTTTTGCTCAAGGCTAGCACTCTACCACTTGAGCCACAGTGCTATGTCTGGCTTTTTCTGTTTATGTGGTACTGAGGAATCAAAACAAGGGCTTCATGCATGCTAGGTAAGCACCCTACCACTAAGCCACATTCCCAGTCTTGACAGTACGTTTCTATATTATACTTCTATAGCACTTGGGAGGCTGGGGCAGGAGAATTTCAAATTCAAGGCCAACTTGGGCTATTTAGGAAAATCCTATCTCTCCTCTTCTCCATAAAAAAAGAAAGAGGAAAAAAATTGTACCTGTGTATTTAAGTCCTTTTTTATAGAAAGCAACTTTTAGAATTTACCAAGCACAAATGCTGACACTGTTGTGATCTTTATCTAAATGATACTTACAAAACTATTAAAGCAATAAAATTTGTAAGTTATGGAACATAAAGGCACTACTCAGAAATAAATAATTTCATACCTGAGAAGTGTAGCTGGAACTACAGGGTTCTTATTGCTACAACCTTTAAGACTTCCACAGAGACTGACAAGATTCACTGTATTTATAAATAATACCTGAGTTGCCTAGAAGGAAAAAAAGACCATAAAGTCACTAAAATTATTTTACTATCATTAGTAACAATTATCCTAGAGATCTATTATTATATTAATGAAGTATATAGGGTAGTTTCTCCAACTGGTCAATGTTGACCCCTATAGTTCTATAGCTTTTTGTTCTTTTCTATTCTACCTTAGGAACATTTCCTATGGTTACTTTAGTACTCTTCCTCTCTCTCTTTCTCTCTTTTCTTTTCCCTCTCTCTCCTCCCACTGGCCCAAGATAGCCTCAAACTTATGCTCCCCCTGCCTTTTCCTCCCAACTAGCTGAAATAATACACACTGTGTTCCACTGCACCAGGCTCCTATCCTCCTTTAATGTGATCTTCTTCCCCACCCCCATTTTTTTTTTTTTTGGCCAGTCCTGGGGCTTGAACTTTGGGCCTGGGCACATGTCCTTGAGCTTCTTTTGCTCAAGGATAGCGCTCTACCACTTGAGCCACAGTGCCACTTCCAGATTTTTGTGCGTAGTTTATTGGAGATAAGAGTCTCACGGACTTTCCTGACTGGGCTGGCTTTGAATCTCAGATCTCAGTCTAGTTAGTATTACAGGCATGAGTGACCAGTGTCTAGCCCTCTTTTCACTTTTTAAAATTTATCATTATTGAAACAGCTATCACTCTGTAGCCCACTGTCCTCTACATCACTATGCAAGCCAGGCTGACCTCCAACCCCTGATGACTTTTTTTTTTTTTTTTGGTCATGGGGCTTGAACTCTGGGCATGGGCGCTGCCCCTCAGCAATTCAGCTCCTCAAGACTAGCACTCTACTGCTTGAGCCACAGCACCACTTTCAGTTTTCTAATAATTAATTGGAGATAAGAATCTCACAGACTTTCCTGCTCAGGCTGGCTTTGAACCTTGATCCTCAGATCTCAGCCTCCTGAGTGGCTAGGATTACAGGCATGAGCCACCAGTGCCCAGCCCCCTGATCACTTCTTTCAGCCTCCCAAGTGCTGGAATTACAGGCCTGCACCACCAGCCTGGCTTTCTCTTCATTTCTAAAGACCAGCATCTAGACATTGTAGCAGCTAATTTAAATAACTTTAGCAACCCTCAGGGGAGTGAACCACCATTTAAAAATAATTAAAGACAAAAACAAACTATCTTCAAATGAAATCTCAAAACTGGAAGAAATTCCCTTTTCTAGATTCCTTTCTATGACAGATCATATTTACTAACCTTTGGGTCTTTCTGATTTAGAGTTACTGCAAGGGTAAGGCCATCTCTTGAAAAGGCAGAAATCAGAGCTCCTCTTGACTTTACTGATTCACATTTAGGATTTAGATTACACAGATGGCAGTTTTGTTGTGCCCAATGAATATGGAATGGCAATGAACTAAGAAAGTAATAAAATAATTGAACATTAAAATTACTGTAATTTTCCTTTACTTATTTATTCTTTCTTTCCAAGATGAGGTCTTGCTATGTTGCCCAAGCTGGCCTAGAACTCCTGGGCTCAATCAATACTCCTGCCTCAGCTTTCCAAGTAACTAGGACTACAGGCATAATCCACTGAGCCTAACTCACATATTAACTTTGAAACTGATACAGAGTTCATTGCAAAAAAATTAAGAGGTACACCTAAATCCCCAGAGACACTTTTGCACTTAGAGACTTTGGTTTTAATCCCCAGGAGAGAGAGAGGAAGAAGCAGAGGGAGAGGCTGGGAGAGGAGGAACAAAGGAAAAAAGAAAGAAGGAAAAGAGGGAAAGGGAGACAAATAAACAGAAAGAGGAGGAGAAAAAGCTGTTATTTTGTATAATTAATATATGGTAATAAAACTATGAAAAATAGTAGAGAATGAGAACCCTTTGGCTGTGTCAACTTACTATACTTCATATGAGTGATAGGTACATATTACATAAGCATATACATTATCCAAGTCTACCTAGCTGTACTTTTAACATTTATTCATTTTCACTCAGGAGGATCACAAGTGTGAGGCTAACTTGTGCTACATACTGATACCCTGTCTCAAAATTAAAATGAAAAGGTTTGTTCTTTTTACTTTTTTGCAAATTGTCTTCAATACTGTTGGCATAAAAAAATTTCTTGAGCCTGGTGCCCACGGCTTCTGTCTTAGATCTAAGGCTGAGATCTGAGAACTATAGATTAAAGCCAGATGCTAGTTGGAACAGATAAATACATGAAAATTCTTTATTTCAGCCATGATTTCACTTCTGTCCTTTTGCTGGTTGTTTGAAACAACAGACAAATGCCAGAAGTGAAGTCAAGTGAAGTGGTAGAGCATTAGCCATGAACAAACTTTCTACATTAAACATTTTAAATGAAATTTCAGAAAAAAGAATCTATAAAGCCACAAGAACTAAATTCACTATAACATTTAAAAATGTTAAGGCATATATGGCCAAAAGATGATAGTATTTTGTTTCTAGTTTAGGATCTATTTTATTTTGCAATACTGGAGTTTGAAGTTCATGCTCACTAGGCAGGTGTTCTACTGGATAAGCCACACTTCCAACTCATTTTGGGGGAAAGGGCACCACAAGGGGACCTGGTACTCGGACTTGAAATCAAAGGCCTCATCCTCACTTGGCTTGCTTGTTCATGGCTGGTACTCTATCATATGAACCATACCTCAAACTCTCATTTTTGCTAGTTAATTGGAGAGAAAGTCTTGACGACTAGTCTCTGCCTGTACTGGCTTCACATCTCCCTTCTCCATGTCTTAACTTTTTTAGTAGCAAGTATGACATACATGAGCTACTTGCACCTGGCCTGTTTTTGTTTTTGAGACGGAATCTTGCTATTGCCCAGGTTGGTCTCAAACTTTCTATGTAGTCTAGGATGACTTTGGACTCTCTATCTTCCTGCTCAGTCTCCTTCCTGAGTGATAATATCACTACTATACTTTCCTTGATTATAATGTTTTAAAAGGGATAGAAAATAGGGAGAATAAAACATGTACCTCACCTTATAGGTGTAAATACGTTTTCATGCCACCAAATCGCTAGAAATGTTAACTTCAGGCATTCCCCAGAATAAAAAGTAAACGAACACAGGCAGCAGTCTCCTAATAACTGTAGATAAAGTTAACATACTTTGGTATAAAATTAATTTAAGAGGAAATCAAGATATAAAAATGTATTTCTCATATAAGTAAAACAAATGAAAAATATCAGGACCCTACTTACACTTTTATTTATATTTTCTTATTTTTTTAGCCTCAGACCTGTCTTTTTTATTTTTTATTGTTATTATAAAAGTGATTTACAGAGGGGTTACAATTACATAAGTCAGGTAAAGAGTACATTTCTTTTTTTCTTCCTTCCCTTGTTCTCTCCCAGGTTTTTATTTTTAACATTATACTAAAGGCCAAGTCTTTCTTTTTTATTTTTACTTTTTGAGCTGGAGATAGGTCTCAAATGGAAAAATCAGGTTGTAGATTTGAGGGATTTTGGTACTAAGGGAGAACTCAGGACTTTAAGAATGCTCTCTTAATGAGCTACACTATATTCTCTTAAGTAACTCAGTGGGCTGGGAAGTTGGCTCAGTGGTAGAGCGCTTGCCTTGCATGCCTGAGGCCCTGGGTTCAATTCCTCAGCACCACATAAGCGAAAAAGAAAAAACCCGGAAATGGCGCTGTGACTCAAGTGGTAGAGCACTAGCCTTGAGCTAAAGAGCTGAGGGACAGCGCCCAGGCCCAGAGTTCAGGCTCCACGAACGGACCCAAAAAAAAAAAAAAAAGAAATTCAGTAAGAGGAACCACAGAGAAGAAATACTTTGGATTTTCTATACTACAATAGAGAAACTACTGATTTCAGTAATTTCATTTCAAAATGAACTAAAATAATATAAAATTCAAAAAAATTAATGTTTGAAGAGATAGAAATGCATATTATCCTGATTTTATGATTACATAATATGTTAAATTATCACAATGTTCCTCATAAGATGTATAAACCTTGTATCAATAAAAAGTGGGGTTTTTTATTGGTTGTGTGCTTGAACTCATAGCCCAGGTGCTGTCCCTAAGGTTAGTTTGCTGAAGTCTAGTGTTCTACCATTTGAGCCTCCATTTCTGAATTGTGGGTGGCTAATTAGAGATAAAAGTGTCATAGACTTTCTTATCTAAAAGCTGGCTTCCAAACATGATCCTTAGATCTCAGCCTCCAGAGTAGCTAGGATTATAGATATGAGCCACCAGTGCCTAGGCTCAATAAAAGTTATTTTAAAAGGATGCCTCGCTGAGTGCCTGTGGCTTGAGCCTGTAATCCTAGCTACTCAGGAGGCTGAGATCTGAGGATCGTCATTCAAAGCCAGCCTGGGCAGGAAAGTCCATGAGACTCTTATCTCCTATACTACCAGAAAACTGGAGTGGCACTGTAGCTCAAGTGGTAGAGCTCTAGCCTTGAGCTGAAGAACTCAGGGACAGGACCCAGGCCAATGTTCAAACCCCTTGACCAAAAAAACAAAAAACAGATGCCTATCATTTATTGCGCCTCTAAGTGGAAAGAGACTTAAAGTTATTTCTCTCTTATAGTTTTATATTTATGCTAGTACACTACCCTAATGCAGGTAATAATAGAGCTTCAAAATGTAATTTTCTAATAAAAGCAGAGTAGATAATAGCTGTTGGCCCATACAAACTACCATGCAATTATTTTTAATATTTCATTTCCATTTAATGAATATACTATTTCTATCATTGAACATCACTGGCACTGATAAATTACAAAACAAATTATATTTTAAATGAGGGAAAAGGAAATAAAGTCCTACTGTCAAACTAACATTTTTTTAAAAAAACATATCACAATACAGGGCTGGAAATGCGGTTTAATGGTAGAGATCTGCCTTTCACGCATGAAGTCCTGGGTTCAATTCCTCAGTACCACATAAACAGAAAAAGCTGGAAGTGGCACTGTGACTCAAGTGGTAGAGTGTTAATCTTGAGCAAAAGAAGTTCAGAGCCAGCGCCTGGGCCAAGTTCAAGCCCCAGGACTGGCAAAAAAAAATAATAAAAGATAAAAAATATATTTAGCATAATGCAATATCTTTTTAATACAGTAAGTTTATAACTATTGCAATAATTGGTAGGGTTTAGAAACATACAATTATGCAATTAAACCCTCCACTAAGCAGCTTTTCAAACAGTCAATTTAGCGGGCGCCGGTAGCTCAAGCCTGTAATCCTAGCTACTCAGGAGGCTGAGATCTGAGGATCAGGGTTCAAAGCCAGCCCGGGCAGGGAAGTCTGTGAAACTCTTATCTCCAATAAACCACTAGAAAACCAGAAGTGGTGCTGTAGCTCAAGCGGTAGAGCACTTGCCTTGAGATGAAAAGCACAGGGACAGCGCCCAGGCCCAGAGTTCACAGCACCCAGGCCCAGAGTTCAAGCCCCACAACCAACAAAAAGAAAAAAGTATTTCCCAAACAGTCAATTCAGAGTCCAGGATCTCAACTTCTTTCATATTCTGTTTCATCTGGATTTTACCTCATTTCTTATAAAAACTGCATTCACTGCAGCCTCTTTGTCTTCAGTGGAAGGCAAAAGAACTGCTTCTTCAGGCATGATCTGGAACCACTGACCCACCAGGGAGAGGCTTTTCGAAGAGAAGATATTCTTTGACTCCAAATATTCCCAAAGAAATATGCTTCCAGAAGGTGTTACAAAGAGAACTCTTTTTCCATTTCCAGATACATACAAGTGTAATCTCAAAGAGTTTTCTAAGAAAATAATAAGAATAATTAAACCTTCAGTGTGAGTTCTCTCAAAAAAGCATACAACTTAACTATTGTTGCAATAACAAACCCAAATTATGTTACCATTCAGGTTGCCAAAACTGAGGTACAAACAAATGAATGACAGGAATGTAAACTAGGTTCTGTTGGGGTGAATATGAGTGGGAAGGAGAGGAGTGAGAGAAGGTAAATGAGGGTAAAAAATGTCCAAAGTACTTTATATATATTTATATATGAAAACATAACAGTAACTTTTGCTAAAATTGTTTTAAGAAGAGGAATGAGGGGCCTGGGAAGGTGGCTCAGTGGTAGAGCATTTGCCTTGCATGCCTGAGGCCCTGGGTTCCATTCCTCAGCACCACATAAGCAAAAAGAAAAAAGCTGGAAGTGGCGCTGTGGCTCAAGTGGTAGAGTGCTAGCCTTGAGTTGAAGAACTAAGGGACAGCGCCCAGGCCCAGAGTTCAGGCCCCACGACCGGACCCAAAAAAAAAAAAAAAAAGAAGAGGAATGAGAAGAGTTATAGGAAAGTGACAGAAGGTGTAAATTTGATCAGAGTATCCTGCATGCATGTATATGAATAGCACAACTAATATATACTAATAAAAAGTAAAGTCAAGAAAAAAGAGCCCGGTGCTAGTGACTCATGCCTGTAATCCTAGCCACTCAGAAGGCTTTGATCTGGTTCAAAGCCTGGGCAAGAAAGTCTGTGAGACTCTTATCTCCAATTAACCACCAGAAAACTGGAAGTGATGTTGTGGCTTAAGTGGTAGAGTACTAGCCTTGAGCTGAAGAGCTCAGGGACAGTGCTCAGGCCCAGAGTTCAAGACCTACCACTGAGGAAAAAAAAAAAAAAAGGGCTGGGAAGGTAGCTCAGTTGTAGAGTGCTTGCCCTGCATGCATGAGGCCCTAGGTTTGATTCCTCAGCACCACATAAGTAGAAGAAGTCAGAAGTAGCACTGTGGCTCAAGTGGTAGAGCTGAAGAGCAGAGGGACAGCACCCAGGCCCAGAGCCCAGGCCCCACAACTGACAAAAAAAAAAAAAAAAGTAAAAAAGAGTACAAATAATAGTAACACTTACCAAATAGTCATTATTTGATATTAGAAACCAATTGTTATTAGAGCAGTATTAGGCATACCAGACTTTTCTTGTTCACATTGAACCTAAGTATCACAGACTTTTAAAGAAATACCAAAAAGCTTAAAACATATAAATAGAAATATATTCTCCGTTACACATACATATAGAACTACATTTTCAAAACAGTCACAGGAAAATATTTCATCCTATTTCCTTTCTGTTTTTCCCATCTAAACCAATTTAAACAAAAATTGCTCACCTACTGTAGCTTTAATCGCTTCTTTAGGCTTTTCAGTTACTTGAATCATTTTCAACCAATCTTCATCTTTGTTCCAAAGGAAAAGTTCCCCTGTAGTGAGCACTCCAGCCAGCCAGGCATCTGTTAAAAAATTTTTTTAATTAATGTAATTCTTAACCTAATATCTCCCTTACTATCACTCTAAATTATTAAAAACACATTAGTCTAGCCTTTTGAAAATACAAGTATTACTTAACCATTACTGGATGTTGACAGGAAAAAAATGTCCTTCAAAAAAGGCTGTAGGCTAGGAATCTTCTTCTTTGTTCTTCCTGATACCAAATTAATTTCATTTATGAATTTATCATCCAAAAGAAAAACAGCTTCATTTGCCTAAGAGAAAAGGCATGTGAAAGATTTAAGTGATCCTAGAAGTTAATTCAACCTCTTGACTAAATTATAACAGAAAAGACAACAAAATAAAACGTTTAAGAAAGATAATTTATACTACAGTAAGGTAAGATCCTATGGTATCCTAAAAACTTGACATTCTATCTAAAACCAGTATCCTGTAAACTTGTCATTCTATCTAAAACCTGAAGGTAGGAAGTGTAGCTCAGTGGTAGAGTGCTTGTCTAGCATGCCTGTGTTCTAGTGCCAACACCAAAAAAAAAAAAATTGCTTTAGAATTACTAAGTGAGGTAGCCTAATAGTTTACATTGAGCTTTCTTTAAATTTTAACATCATAAACATATCTTCTATTTTAACTAGCCCAAATAGGTTATCTTAATGTTTAATCTCTTATTGTTAACAGTAGAATGAGCAAGTGTTTATACATTATTTACTTTGATTACAATGCATATGTCTTAGCCGGGTGCCAGTGGCTCATGCCTGTAATCCTAGCTACTCAGAAGACTGAGATCTGAGGATCACTGTTCAAAGCCAGCCCAGGCAGGAAAGTCCCTGAAACTCTTATCTCCAATTAACCACCAGAAAACCGGAAGGAGCATTGTGGCTCAAGTGGTAGAGGGCTAGCCTTGAGCTGAAGAGCTCAGGGACAGCACCCAAGCCTGGAGCTCAAGCCCCATGACCACCACCACCACCAACAACAACAACAACAACAAAGCCTATGTCTCTGGAAATTCATAAACCCTTTGACTGATTATTTGAGTCCTAGAAAAGGCAGGCAGTGAAATGCAACAACTCTTGAGATTCCATCTAACCTCAGTAAGAATGACCATTACCAAAAATTCAAACAAGTGCTATCAGTGATGTGAGGAAAAAAGAAACCATATTAACTGTTGGCGGGAATGTAAACTAGTACAACTACTTTGGAAATTCTTGAAAAAAACTAAACATAGAACTACTCTATCTATGATCCAGAAGTATGACTCCTGGGCATTTATCCAAAAGATTACAAGTCAGGATACAGTAAAGACATTTGGCACTCATGTTCATTGCTGCCAATTGCAAAGTTATGGGAACAGCCCAGGTGTCCTTCAACAAACAAATGGATCATATAAAATATGTATACATACGTGCATATAACATTTATTTGTTATAAATGTACATGTATATGTGTATATGGATGTATACATGTACACACACACACACACATACATATATATATATATATACATGTATACATATAATGGAATTTGTGTGCCGAAGAAGGAAACACTTCACTGACAAGTAGGAGAAGTTCAGGAGATTAAACATTCTGATTTAACATATTCCATTTCAACCTATTTAAACATAATATGAAACTAAAAATTTTTGAAAGTTAAAAACTTCCTCCTAAACAGACCACTAAAACTTTCTGGAAAAGCTTATTTCCTCATAATTAAAACACACCAAAAAAAAAAAAAAAACAACCTGTTTAGGAGGCAGGTAATCTTTCCAAATATGATGTCTTCTTTTAAGTCACAGAGTATACCTACATTTTACAGAAAAAAAAATACATGTACCATATATTACATGGGTAAAAATTAAGTAAAACTCACCTGTCCCAACCAGGAAATTCTTGGCCAGGGTTTTTTCTGTTTGATACTTGTTGATGTCAAAATTTCTAATCTTATTTCCATGCTTGGAAAGATATCAATGATGAATTAAGCAAAACCATAAGAACACACTGTAAATAACAATAGAGCCCATAATATTTACCATGCATTTTAAATAACTATAGTTATAAGTAATTCATAAATATGTTACTTTGTCAATAACTCAAACGAATGTTTTTAAGTTAAGAAGTTGATAATTGCATTTTATATCTGGACCAGTCTGGTAAAATGTATTTGCTTTACAAGTTACTTTTCAGACAATGAAGATAAATCTAGGAAGGATCTTAATAAATAAGTTTCCATGTGATTTGCCTTTCTCAGTAGTCAGACTGTATTTTGCAGAGCTGGCCACATCTCCCATCTCACAGGCCTTGTGAGTGACTCTGATACTTCTCTCATTTAGTACTGTGGTCTCTGCCTCCCCCTTTGAAGCTGGGCCAGATTTTGTGACTGTTTAGACCAAGATAATACAATCAAGGTAATGCTATGCATTTTCAAAAGCTAAATTATAAAAGGTAATATAGTTTCTACCCTGCTCTCTGAATAATATTCATGAAGACACAATAACTATGTAAACAGGCATCCAACCCTCAGCCTAAATTGTGCAAATGTCCAAACTGACAGCTGTGCTGCCTCTCACCTATAATCCTAGCTACTCAGGAGGCTGAGATCTTAGGATAACAGTTCAAAGTAAGCTTGAGCAAGAAAAGTCTGTGAGACTTATCTACAAAAAGCAGAGATGCGTGAGAGCACTAGCCTTGAGCAAAAAATCTCAGCAATGGCAATAAGGCCCTGAGTTCAAGCCCTAAAACTGGTGCATGCACACATACACAGGTGCACATACACAATGAAATCCTAAGACAAGATGAACTGAGAGATACCTGGAAAGTCCACCCACTAAGTGTGAAGGATGATTATGGTTAGAGCCAAATCAAAATGAAAAAGATACACAAGTGGTGTGTCCCAACTACACATTCAGAGCCAGCCCAGAGCAGGGTGGGAGGAATATAATCTTGGAAGAATGTCTCATTCAGTGTTGGAACAACCTCACTGGAGCTCAAGTACAAAGAGACACAGCAATCATTCTGTATTTTTTCCTGTTCTCTCTGTGTCTCTTTGGTGCTGGTACTGGGGCTTGAACTCAGGCCTTCATGCTCTCATTTGACTTCTGCCACTTGAGAAACACCTCCATTTCTGGCTATTTAATTGGTGGTAAGAGTCTCATAGACTTTTTTGCCCAGGCTAGCATTGAACCATGATCCTCAGATCTCAGCCTCCTGAGTAGCTAGGATTATAGGCATTAGCCACCAGGATGTCATTCTTGAAAATCATTCTTGAAAAAGAATATCACTGACCAAAATGAGAACAGTATGAACTCAAAAAAAAAAATCACATTGATGGTTTTAAAATAGGAAATGGACTCCATGTAAGTAGAATATTTGATGAAAATAAGGTATTTCATAAGAGCCAGGCAAACTCCATTAAATTCAATGGTCAAAAGGAACAACATGAGAAATAAGACAAATAGCAGGAAATCACACACCACCCACCTAAGATGTATATGCTAAAGATACATAAACTAGGGGCTGGGAAGGTGGCTCAGTGGTAGAGCGCTTGCCTTGGATGCCTGAGGCCCTGGGTTCGATTCCTCAGCACCACATAAGCAAAAAGAAAAAAGACAGAAGTGGTGCTGTGGTTCAAGTGGTACAGTGCTAGCCTTGAGATGAATAGCTGAGGGACAGCGCCTAGGCCCAGAGTTCAAGAGTTCAGGCCCCACAACCGGACCAAAAAATAAATAAAAAAATAAAAAAAAATAAAGATACATAAACTGACTCTAATCTCTCTCTCACACACACACACACACACAATCAAGTGAAGTCTACATTGATGGACATTCTACTAAAAAAATGATCTGTACCATCAAAAATGTCAAGGTACATAAATGGAACTCAGGGACAGCACCCAGGCTCCTGAGTTCAAGCCCTATGACAGACAACAAAACAAAACAAAAACAGGCAAAGTCCACGATACTCTAATCTCCAATAAACTACTCAGAAAAAGGCAAAAATGGTGTTGTGACTCAAGTAGTAGAGGACTAGACTTGAGTACAAACAGGCTCAGAGACAGCACCCAGGCCCTGAGTTCAAGGGTTCAAGTTTCAGGACAGGCAAAAAAAAAGTGTCAAGGTCGTAGAGGTCAAGAGAAGACTGGACAACTAAATTCAATGAGTAATTTATAAACTTTATCATTATGTTATAAAGGATAATACTGGACAATTGGAAGAAAAACATATAGGAAGAAAAACAGGATTAAATGGTAGTTAATTAATGTAGTTTTCTTATTTTAGTAGTTGTCCTACAGCCAGGTAGAAGAATGTCCTTATTTACAGAATATCATACTGGCATTCTACAGCCAAGTAGAAGAATGTCCTTACTTACAGAATATCATACTGGCATTCGGGGGTACAGGAAACGCTGTTAGTCATTTATTAAATTATGATCAAAGTTCTTTGTACTGTACTTTCAATACTAGTTTTCTGTAAGATAGAGACTATTTTCAGGTTTTTAGTTGTGAGGGTTTGTTTCGTTTCGCAGATACTGTAGCTTGAACTCGGTTTCTGGCTTCTACTTGAGCCACAGCTCCCTTTTCAGCTAGCTTTATGCTAGCTTTATGGCGTAAGTCTCATGAACTTTTCTGCATAACTTGGCTTCAAACTGTGACTTATTGAGGATTACGGGCATAAACTAACTACTGGTGCTTGAAAATGTGAGATTATTTTAAAAGACAATTGGAGAAAACTGAACAGACTCAGCGAAAGTCAGGACAGTCTATCAGCGACTCTGTTCTTACGTATTTCTTTTCAAATACGTCCTCATCCTTCCTCGGTGAGAGGTACAGTATGCGCTTCCGTATTTTATACCAAAGATTACTCTAGATGTGTGAAATTTTGCAGTTAGGTTGGAAAGGATAAAATGGCCCCTAACCGTTCAAGATCGAAGGCCGGAGCTGCCCAGGGGCGGCCGGGACGAAAGGCTCGTTTTGCTGTACATTCCGCTGGCTCTTCAGATTCCGCTGCTACTGGATGGATAACAAACACCATGAAACAACCGAGATAAAAATGACAGTCACACGGAAAACACGTTAGCAATTCGAAGACACTCGGCAGTACCTTTATTTTTACACAAATCCATGAATGCAATTTCAAGTTTTTCTGGGGTTTCAACCACCGAAGAGTCTAGAAAATCGCGTCCATGTCTCCGTGCACACTTCATCACCTACTAGGGTCAAGCACAGGGGTGATCTCGTGGCGAACTGACCGGGGTCACACAAAGGGACCCCGCGGAGGTGACCCCGGGCACCGCCAGCCGGCGGAGCGGAGGCGCAGGGCCCGGCGGCGGCA